TGTGTGTGTGTGTGTGGGTGTGTGTTTGCATTTTGGAGGATAACGGCATCTTAAGGCATAAAAGAAATAGGACACATTTTCCTGAAACCTTAATTTTATCATCTGGTAAAAAAACTGAAATGTAATTGCTAATCGTCCTATGCTTTAGGTTGTCAAATTTAGGTGAATTTTTAAAGATAAATTACTTTTCCGGGCTTTACTGATGTATGATTGGCATATAACATTATGTAAGTTTAAGGTGTTCAAAGAGTTGATTTGGTACACTTGGATATTGCAAAATGATAATCAAAATAAGGTTATTTAAAATTTCCATCATCTCACATAATTACAATTTATTATTTGTGACGAGAACATTTAAAATTTACTCTCTTAGAAACTTTCAAATATATAATAGGATATTATTAACTATAGTTGCTGTGCTGTGTATTACATCCCTGTGACTTATTTATTTTATCTCTGGTGGTTTGTACCTTTTGACCTCTTTTACCCATTTTCCCACCCTGGTAACCACCAATCTGTGCTCTGTATCTCTGATTATCCCTTGATTGACGCTTAGGATGTTTCCTTATCCTGGCTATTGTAAATAATGCTGCATTGAACAAGGCAGTGCATGTATCTTTTCAAGTTAGTGTGTCATTTCCTTTGGGTAAATATCCAAAAGTATAATTGCTGGGTCATATGGTAGTTCCATTTTGTCTACCATAAAGGTTGCTCTGAGTTACACTCCCACCAACAGTGCACAAACGTTCCTTTTTCTCCACATCCTTACCGACACTTGTTATTTCTTATGTTTTGGACATTTTCACAATATTAATTCTTCTGATCCACGAACACAGGACATCTTTCCATTTGTGTCTTCAATTTCTTTTATCAACATCTTATGGTTCTTAGCACCCAGATCTTTCATCTCCTTGATTAAATTTATTTCTAAGTATTTTAATGCTAAGGTGAATGGAATTGCACAAAGTAATATGTGTGCTGTAGTAATGGAAAGGTTTGAGATCTGGGGAACAACATGCATCCATCCTTCCATCCATTCGTTCATCTGACACATACTTTTGTGACTGAAAACAAATATGATCTCACACACAAGATATTGATTTATATGATACATATTAAAACCCAAATAGGTTGGGAAGGAATTGCTATCATGTTCAAAATTTTCCTATAGCTCTGCATAGATGCAGAATGAAATCTAAAATCTTCTGCTCATCCCAAAAGGCCATTGTGTCTGCTGCTTCCACCTCTGGTCTCAGTTTGCCTTTTTCTACACCTTGTCCTTTCTTCCTACCTCCACACCCAGATTTCACTCTTCAACATTACTGTCCTGCAGTTCCCAGAATTTGCCATGAGTATGGTGTATCCTTTGCCTAGATTGCACTCCCTCCTTGCTAACCTGGGGGCAGGTTTGATTACTCCTCCCAAGCCCCCACTGCACTTTGTTTATACTTATTAACGAAAATATCTTCGTGTATTTTTCTGAATAGTTTTCATTAGATTCTAAGCTCCTTTAAAGCAAGGACCAATTCTTTTGTTTCTCTAGAGGCCTCATAGATTGTGTATCGTATATGGACAGGACCTAATAAACATGTAATGAATAAATGCATTTTAATAAATGAATGAGGCCATTTAATACTGTATCTGGTTATAAACATAGTAGAAAATTTATTAAATGAAGCCTCTTGCAGAAAAAAAAAAGCCACAATTCATTGAAGACATGTGCTGAAAGAAAAGGATTTAGGTTAAGAAGAAAATTACATAAGGATTAATCATATGCCACATTTCAGTCCAGAATGTTTTAAAGAATGTTAAAAAATATTTAAAGCAGCAGAATTTTTCCTTCAAATCAAATCCCACTGAGGAGTGTAAACAAATGAGATAAAACTATAAAAGTTTCTTCAAATGCATGTAGGCGAGGTAGTTTAGGGTTCCAAGAGCTTTTTTCCTGGGGAAAGCAAATGAGAAATGCACTGTCAAAGGCACAGAATATTAAGATCTTACTTACATGGGACTTTTCAGTTTATAAATTGCTTTGACATTGTGTTTTCTGAGCCTCACAACAACATTGCTGAAGTTGGCAGGCAGAGTAGATACTATCCCAATTAACTAAATCAAAGCAGACTTAAGGGACTTGTCCAAGTCTTGCCAAGAATTGCGCTCACTGATGTTATATATATTGTAGCTACTCATCAAAACCAGATCCTAAGACTCCACATATAACTTATCTTCTGGCATAGAATTGCCATTTGAACGGACAAACATGCATGCACACATAAATGTCATAAATGTCATTATAACCCTGGAAAGCTCCCAATGAAGTCCCTCAAGCATAATTGTATATCCTCTGGGTTTCCAGCTCTTTTTTCTTTGCTCTACCGGTACAGAGTATGCTCAGACAAAATTCTAGAAGAGCGACTGCTTCCTAGCCTTGTTGACTCCAGGCTACGCCATGAATCTTTATGCTGGTGGGTTTTTTTGTTTGTTTGGTTTGGTTTTTTTGGTAAGTTCTATACAGGCCAAATACCCCTATATAAATGCCTCAATGCGATCTTTTACTTAGGATTTTAAAGTCACCGATCTCACAATGTACCATGAAAATTTCATACATTTATCATAAATAATCACAAAAAATAAAAAATTCTGAGGAGGTAAAGCCAACTGTACAATTAGAGGGCACTGTTTCCAAGGCTACCTTCATTTCTAACACCAAATATATGATCAGTGTGTTCCCAAAGTCACTCTCAGTTTTTTTCAAAGTTTATTTATTTTTGAGAAAGAGAGAGAGTGCAAGTGGGGGAGGGACAGAGAGAGAGAAAGAAAGAAAAGAAAGAAAGAAAGAAAGAAGAAAGAAAGAAAGAAAGAAAGAAAGAAAGAGGGAAGGAGAGAGAGAGAGAATCCCAAGCAAGCTCTGCACAGTCAGTGCAGAGCCCCATATGGGGCTTGAACTCAAGAACAACAAGATCATGACCTGAGCCCAAGTTGGACACTTAACTGACAGAGCCACCCAGGCACCCCTCAGTTTTGATAATTCACTAGAAGTACTAATGGAACTCACCAAAAACTATTACACTCTTAGTTACAGTTTATCGTAGAAAAATACTATGGATTGAAAGTATTAAAATCAAAGGAAGAGACACATAGAGCAGAGTCCAGTAAGTTTCCAGATATGAAGCCCTCACTGTCCTCTCCCCATGGAATCAAGATATGTTACTGTCCCAGCACTGATGTGTGACAATATACATGAAGCATTGTCAACCAGGAAAGCTTAGACAAGCTTTGGTGTTCAAAATCTTTATTGGGACTTCATTTTGTAGGTATGATTCATAGATTGTTTGATTGATTTCCCATGTGCTAGACTTCGGTCTCGAGGCTAATTGATACTGTGTGATCCAAAGCCCCTACTCTCAGTTACGTTGCTGGCCTTTCTGGCATGGCCAGCCTGCACCCTAGGATGTTGTTTGTGCCCTAGACCACACATTAAGATCCAGTGTGGCCAGTCCCCACACTAAACAAGGACACTTCTATCACTTATGACATAGATTACTTCCTAGGAACTGAAGGCAAAGGCCCGACCTTCAGGCCATGCCAAATTCTTTACCACACAGGTCACAACCAGCATTTGGCCACGGCTGTCTTAAAACAAAACAATTATTTTTGTCTGGGCATCTACATTTAATATAGCAGACACAGCAATAGTATCATTATAAATATGCCTAACATTTGGAGGAGATGATGTGGGGGTAAGGATAGATTTTAAGAAAAAGTTAATCCATCCTATAAAGCCATTACATACATTTTCATATTTTTGTCCTTAGATTTACCACTATTTGTATCTTGTGATGAATTTGTGTAGAACAATTTAGGGTAGGAATTTGCTGATGGTTAGCTAAATGCAGTTCTCTCTCAGGCCAGTCATTTTCCACAAGTATTACATGCTGAGGAGGCTTTAACTAGTTTCCCAACACCCTTGACCATCAATATCAGGACTACAATCCTACCAACAGTACCAGTGTTACAACATTTCACAGGACGGTAGTAGATATAAACTGAAAAAACTGGTCAAGAGATATTAGCACAATACTGGACTACTACTCAGTCATTAACAATTAGTCCAGTCCATCATTATATATTGGTTTTTTTTTCAACGTTTTTTTTTTTTTTTAATTTTATTTTTGGGACAGAGAGAGACAGAGCATGAACAGGGGAGGGGCAGAGAGAGGGAGACACAGAATTGGAAACAGGCTCCAGGCTCCGAGCCATCAGCCCAGAGCCTGACGCGGGGCTCGAACTCCCGGACCGCGAGATCGTGACCTGGCTGAAGTCGGACGCTTAACCGACTGCGCCACCCAGGCGCCCCGATCATTATATATTGTATGACCAAAATGTCTCCCATCTGCCTGAGATGCCACTCAGGTTTGCAGACTTCTATTCACTCTTACAAGATTCTGAAAGCAGAAGTGGCTTCATCCTTTCAGATATTTGGCATAATTAAATTAGGAGAGGATATCATCTCTTGCTATGAGCCTTTTGAGGAAGCAATATAATATTGGATTTTCCTCATTGAATAATCCATTTGTTCATTCTCTTAGTGACTATTTTTCCTTCTGTACTAAATTCAAATCTAAATTTTTTCACCTTTGGGAAGGATGTTAAGTTCAGCCATGATGCCAGTCCAGATTGCAGAAGCAATACTGGCCATCTTAGTCCAACAAGTGCCTCCTGCTCAGCCTACTTCTTTTCATATAGAGTAAGGACAGAACTAATGGGCTATCTTGACCACTAGTCAACCCAGTTGACTCTCAACCCAGTTTTGCCCGATGGGATAAATGCAAAGTTCACCTCATCAGGCCCAGAAATTCTGACATAAATTTTGTTTTTAAAAAATTTTTTAAATGTTTATTTATTTTTGAGACAGAGACAGAGCATGAACGGGGGAGGGTAGGAGAGAGAGGGAGACACAGAATCCGAAGCAGGCTCCAGGCTCTGAGCCGTCAGCACAGAGCCTGACGAGGGGCTCGAACTCACAGGCCACGAGATCATGACCTGAGCCGAAGTTGGACGCCCAACCGACTGAGCCACCCAGGCGCCTCCTGACATAAATTTTCAAAGGTATAGTTCCAGTTTCTTACTGAGGGATCATCGCTCTTTCCAGTGCCCACAGCGACAGCCCTGGTTTACTACTGCATCTGGTAGGAAAAAGGAAAGTTGGAGTACTTTGGGGGGAGAATGAGAAAAGTATCATCATCCCAATACCCTCCTCCTGTGGGAAGGATTATATAGTCCTGCTAGTGTCCTCCCCACCTCCTCTTCCTCATATCCTTTAGAAAGCTGAGGAATCTAATGGAGATCCTCTCTTAACCTTCTCTCCTACTGAGTGTGAGCACACACTTGTGAAGTTGTGTAAGCCTTCCCTTTAGGTCTTTACCTGCCCCCCATTTCAGAAAACAAATATTTCAGTTACCCTTTCTAATTTTCTATCAAACCATCACTTGAAGGATGACATTTCTTTGTCCATTATTGGACATTTATGGACTGTAAAGTGTGCTTCTTGGTCTGAAGAAATGTGACTCGGCCCAAAATGGTGCAGTATTTTCTGTTGGGTTCTTTCTGTATTACCCTGAGGACTTGCATCTACCACCAGGTAAGCAAAGCCAGGTTCAGAATATGTGTCTGTTCCTGTCAAGGTCCATTTGTGGCCTCTGAGGACTATTGGCATTAGTCTGACTTGACACTGAAGTGTTGGGCCTTCTCTCTGGGGTATCTTCACCATCACCACCTGTGGTCTCTGTCTGTCTTGTTGTGAGACAGAACAGTTCTTATTGGCATTTTGTGCCTCAGGAGGTATTTAGATTCAGTCCATTTATGCACTGCTGAAAGTTCCCAAGTTCATTTTTATAAACCCAGGTAAGTAACTAGGTCAAGGGAGCACAGCAAGATATATGCTTTCTGGTTCCAATCACCTACCCATCTTGGAAGGGTATCTTCTGATTGGGCATCTCTGTACCCTACTTTAAGGTATCTCTTACATTCCCATTATCAGAAAAAGTCTCATTCCGCCAGAGGAAAGAGCTGAAAATAGATCATCATTATTTGAGAGACTTGATACTCTCTGTGTCACACTTTTAAAGGTCCCCTAAGCAACAGCATCTGTATTCATATATTTTACTCACTATGGATTACGTAAAAATGTAGCAAGGTGGTTCTCAAACTTTATCAATATCCTATGGAGAGATTCTGATTCAGTAGGTCTGCAGTGCAAACAGAATTTGCAAGTCTAAGTTCCTAGGGGATGCTACTGATGCTGGTCTGCAGACCACTCTTTGAGAGCCATTATAGCACATTGTTTTAAAAATCATCTGTTTATGTCTCTTTCTCTGCTGGAAGGTGAGATTTTCAATTGCAGGAACAGTTTTATTTATCAGTATGTTCCCATATCCTAACAGAACATCTAGGAAAAATATAAATATTTGTTGATTTAATGAATGGTAATGATGTTTCTTGCATTATGCTACTAATATTTATACTGCTTTTATTGGTAAAATCACCTGCATATTTGACGATGGTAATATGACTTTGTTTTTCATACATATAGTGTTAGCCTTTTATTATTAGTATAAATATTAATAATAGAACATTATTTTATTATATTTTAATAATTTCAACATGATACATGGCTAATAGTCCTTGCAAAACATTTTTTTGCTAAATGACTAGATATATGTGTGTGTGTGTGTATGTGTGTGCAAGTTCTTGGATGAGAAGAATGCTATTTTTCTTTTATTATATGTGAATTGGTGATATAAAATTATTACATGAAATATTTGGCAGCTGTATATACCTTGCAGGCAAAATTAATGAAAAAGAAAAATTTATAGAATCTAGGCTAATTTGAAAATGTGATGAAACATGTCTTCACAAATTAAAGTTTGGAGAATGGTGGAAAGTACAAAAATGCACTGATAGCCTTTCTGAAGATGCCCCCCCTCCCTACCGCATTCTGTATTCTGCTCATTAATTGTTAAATTAATATTCATTTGGATTCTGGTTGGCCTCTTCAATGCCAGGTTCCCAAACTCAAGTGGAACTAAAGGCAAACTACCTTAATTTTGCCTCTTTTACATCACTCTTAAAGTTTCCAGACTAGCACTAGTAATTCTAAGAAATTAGCAAACCAATTTACCCTGGGCCATGATTTGGTCCAATCTCATTAGCTAAGTGAGTCCCAACTTCAGTGTTGCCTGTCTTCAAATATGTAATTAAGAGGGCCAATGAAGGCCAAACTGTGTTTGAAGGTAAAGCAGGACTCATGGATGCAATAATGAGAAACTGTGGCAACTAGGATTATTTAATCCTGCAAAACAGAACGTAAGTAAATAAAATTCAATTACAACTTAATTAAGCTAAAAATTCTATAAAAATCATAAAATATGGATCAAAAGCTGATTAGTCTCTTCTTTGAAACAATTCAGTAACATGTTGAAAATAGTCAGTGGAGGACATTGATGGCCTATACATTTAACACCAATAAAAAGAGATACGTATGTGTCCATATAGCACAAAATCAAACTATGAAGTTCTTCACCACTGAACACTGAGTGTTAGATTCCACAGTTGGGTTTTTAAAATGGCTTTAAAACTTTAAGTTTAGTTTGAATTAAAAACTCACCACAGACTTAAAACTAAGACTTAAAGGGTATGTGGTAAGTTTTGTCAACTCAAAAGAACCAGTTATTACATTGAAGATATTATGGCTTTTTGATAATTTTAATGGAGGTGGAAATGCCAGTCATTACTGACAGATAAAAGCAATGTGAAATGTGAAATGTCCTGTTTGTGTCCTATTTGATGAGGTGTTTACCAAAAATGTCTAAACAAAAATCCCTGATATTATAAAATATTTTTTTCATTCTTGCTGGGTCTCCAATATTTAGACCCGATTTCACCAGGTAATTACAACCTCAGAAAATGAAAACCATACCAGAATTGGGAAGGTGTTTTGCAATCTGGTCCTACTCAAAACTGTGGACCAGGTACGGTTTTTCTATGGGGCTTGCCCACTTCCCTTTGGTGTCTAATACAGCCGTCTCATTCTGTTTCAGGGTTTCCCACTTCTGGAACAGGCTTCCAAATCCTGCAGGGACCAGATCTCTAACAGGTGATGATTTGCTAATCCTGTGAAGTAAACTGTGCTGATGTGTATAGTTCCTACCAATTGGACAGGGTGCTAGAGACTATGACTTCCTAATTCAGTTAGTGCAAATTGCAGTCTCTAAGGATTGTAGGAGCCCTTACGGGTAGCTTTCCACACAGTGCAAGAATCTCACCCAAGTACCTCTTCAGTGACGGTTCAGTAATGGGAAGTCCAGTATTTCACCAGGTGGGGCAGTTTTAGATGTTAGAAAGTTCTGTTTTATATTAAGCCAAAACCAGGAAGGAGCAGAGGTGTCAGAGAAAAGAACGTTAGCTTTGGGAAAGGTTCAAGGCCAAATTCCAGCTTCACCATTCTCTATCTGTGGGAATCTGAGGGTGTTTTTTAACTTCATGGAACTCGGCGCTTTGATAAAAAGGAATAAAAGAAAAAATATCAAAAGAATCATAATAATATCAAATATTTGTAAAACAGCATACAGTTCTGGGTACATAGTGAAGGTCCAATACGTATGAATTTTGTCTTTTCTCTTATTATTCCTAATCTAGTTCTTCCTATATGAAACATAAAATTGTTCTGTTCCTTTTATTTGGTGACAACTTTCCAAATTATCTAAACCTAGGTTCCATGCTTCTCTTTGCACAATTTTCTTTTATAATCCAAATATCAGCCTATCTTTGAGCCATTCCTTATAGGGCATCTTCTTCCAACCCTTCACTATCCTATTTCTTTTGTATAAGTGCATTCTACTTTACAAAAATCCATATAGAATTAAGGTGCCTATAATTAAGGATGGTTCTGTAAAAAATGAGCTAAGTAAAATAATTTTCGAAGTGTTAATTTGTATTTCCACTCCCTACATCATCTCATCTTCTCACGCCCTTTGCTGGGCTTCGTAGCACCCTATCATTATCAGAAGTATCTTCTTCATTAGTTAGCTAGTTAATTAGTTCAACAAGTATATGTGTGCTTATTATTTCTCTCTCTTAGTTGAATGTAAGTCGCATGATGGCAGAGGTCTAGTCTGCCTCCCTCACCCTTTTGTAACTGGCACTTAGTACAGCCTCTGGCACACTGGAGATGCTACTGGATATTTGAAAGTAATGAATTCAAAAGGACCATGAGAAATTATTTGAGGCAGAGATGATGATGACTGTATACATGGAATTGCTAACTCATAATTCTTGCATAAAAATTTAATTGCTTAGAATTTTATATTTGTCTTCTTAATAAGAATTCACATACGATAGGAAAAGGAGAACATGGAACTAAATGAACATATCTATCCTTGATTCCTTGATCAGGTCTTCCTTTTGTTTAGGCTACAAGGAGCTATTCTCTAACCATAGAGATTCTCTTCACCTGGAGACAGAGGAATTCCCTCTGCACCCCCAGCAGTAACCCTTACCCACCATTGAGAGAATTCTCCTCCAACTGCCAACTTTGGTTGACAGACATAAGGGAAATTCCTGTGCCCTTGCATGACACAGAAAAGCACAGTTGTGGCCACTTGTCCTTTGTGAAATGGAGACTGCAAAACAAAACAAAATAAAACCATTTGTAGAAAAGTACCTTATAATTCAAGGAGGTCACTGTTCAAGGTATTAAGGAGATAATTTAGTATACAACAAACAGTCTGTGAGATTTTAAAGTGTCAGTTAAAATAGTTTTGGTATTTGTTATTTTAAATGAGTGTCAAGTTTAAAATATTCCATCGACTTCAGTGAAAATGTCTAATTCAAATATCTTCAGTTGAATCTGGTATTAATTGATTCATTTGTTATATATAGAAATAAAAGTTCCCAATAAAATATTGGTCATACATCAAAACAATTTGTATCATCAGAAAAACCAAAAAGAAGTGGCTCTAAACTATTGATTAAGCATATATATTCTTGGGACGCCTGGGTGGCTCAGTCTGTTAAGAGTCCAGCTTTGGCTCGGGTCATGATCTCTTGGTTCAAGAGTCTGAGCCCAGCATTGGGCTCTCTGCTGACAGCTCAGAACCTGGAGCCTACTCAGAACCTGGAGCCTCTGTTCCTTCCCTGCTCATGCTCTCTCTCTTTCTCAAAAATAAATAAAAAGCATTAAAATTTTTTTTTAAAAAGTATATGTATTCTTTGAAGGAATCATCTGATGATACCATGTTTTCCACTTTTGCAAATTAAATGAGCTTGGTGACCCATTGGCTTAATGGACAAAGCAAATAAAAGGTGAAATTTTAATTTAAAAATATTAGATTAAAATTTTATATGCTAAGGAGTAGTCAATTCAGTGGTCAAACTGTCTCAGGGCTTTGGAGGAAATAGAATTGAGAAACTTAGGCCATGTCAGGGCAGATGGGGGAAGGCACACTCCGTGTAGGTGGTATAGCCCTGCTTCATGTAAGTGTGCTGACATCATTTCACTAAGGAATATAGACTTGGTCGTGCCAGATCTTCTGATTTTAAAGATGAGCTGGAAGTCTGTATTTTTACTTTAACCTCTTAACTTAATGTATGCATAATACAAATTATAATATAATACATATATACATATGTATAGTATATATATATATATATACATACTCTTAGGCCAACATTCTAGGAATATATTTTATTTTATTTTATTTTATTTTATTTTATTCTTTTATTTTATTTTTATTTTAGAGAGAGAGAGAGAAAACACAAGTAGGGGAGAGAGGCAGAGGGTGAGAGAGAGAATCTCAAGCAGACTGGAGGCTGACGCAGGGCTTGATCCCACAACTCTGGGATCATGACCTGAGTCAAAATCAAGAGTCAGACACTCAACCAACTGAGCCACCCAGACGCCCCCTATGAATATATTTGAAACAAAGACCCACTTGTGTGTACAGTGGTAATATGTATTAGAATGTCACTTTCTGATTTATAATAGAAAAATAAAAGTAAAGACACCCTATATGTTTGTTGAGTAGGTAAGGAATTTGAAATGTGTTGCGTCCGAATGATGAAATGTTAGAAACAGCTGAAAAAAATGTGGAAGATTCCCAAGGAAGATGTAAGACATAGTTATTAAAAATAATACTGGAAGAATGGGTATAGTATAATTAAGAATACATGAAAATGGTATTTCTATTGTGAATGGGTATGTATGTTCAGTGATTGAAGGGGTACTAGGAGAAATGGGCAAAGTACAATTGGCTTTTCATAAAATATTTCTATATGTATGTGTGTTAGTTCTCAGCAACAGGATTGAAAGGGCATACAACAGAATTTTGACATATGTTGTCTTTCAAATGGGAACTCAGACTGGAGAAGTGAGAGGGACTTTGATCTTTTATACCTGCTGCTTAAATATTCTCCAATAAGGATATATTCATGAATTGTTGCATAAAGAAAAGGAATAGTTAAGAGGAAATGAAAATGAAGTCAGTAAAAAGAGGTTTTCATAGTGATGAACAATAATAATATGAGAAATAAGGCTTTACCTGTTGGTTAAAAACCTTAATTACTGGTATGAAAGCTATGCTATTAAATACAGAACTCTATCTTGAAATGATTTAAAATACAGCCTCTCTTATCTGAATGTCTGGGTTCAAATCTAAGACAGTTCAGCTGTGTGAAATGGCCAACATTTGTGTATGTAATAAATTCCAACTGATAGCATCTTACAAATAATAAGAGATAACGGAGGTAAGATGCTCAGTCTGGTTTCTGATACATTGAGTACATTTTCTAAAAATATTAGCCATTATTCTTGGAAATGAAGTTTATGAAACAAAACCAAGAGGATTTGCTTTAGCCATCTCTGGATATGTTTTTAATGATATGTTTTCAATCAAAATCCATGTTATTTTTGTAGTGGGTCAACAACAGTGCACAGATAGATATTTGGCTGTGTGAAAGTGATGTATTCAAGATGATGTTTTTGTGAAATTCTCCCTCTGCCTTTTAGCAGCTGTCTTAGTATCAGGCAGTTCTACACATTATAGGTATACTATAGTAGTATAGTATACGGTTTGCTTCTGGGACTACAGACTTTGCAACAGAACAAATTTCATCAGTTGCTTCCTGCATTTTTATACACATGCAATACATTATCTCTAATAACGTAGCTCTAGAGAGGGGTCAGTGGCCATTGAAACGAATGCTCGTTAACACCAGCATTCTTCACAGAACTAGAGCAAACAATCCTAAAATTTGTATAGAACCAGAAAAGACCCCGAAAAGCCAAAATTATGTTGAAAAAGAAAACTCATTATCAGTTTTTCTGTGTCAGCTTTATGTGGAAACAGACGACGTCCAAACTGAAGCCTAACAGTCTCTCTATCAGCTGGGCAACCCTAACAAACATGAGGCAGAAGTGTTCAAGGATGTATCTTGTGGGTACATTTCCATCACTCCTGGAAAAGCAGTTGCTGAAAGACATTCTGGCTGAAGAAAATCAGGAAACCAAATAGAAAGCTATTTTTGATTCAGAAAAGAGAAAAATACAAGTAATGACAGACAGTGAAAGGAGAGATAATAGAAGCAGGTGAAACAGAAGGGGCTTTAGAGTAGGTGTAGACTTCTTTTGTAGGACAGTAACTTAAAAGACTTAATATTCGAAATTTATTAAAATAAACATTGCTTTTGTTTATGCAAAAATTTCTTTCCATCTTAAAGTTCTAACCTTTGTAAAAGCCATTCTCACTGGCAGTAAAAATATCTGTTTACTGTCACTACCACTGATTAAAGAAAACATAGCTCTAGTATAATTAAAGGAAGTGTGTACATATTAACATTTCATTTCTCTTACTGCTGTTTCCCCAGCCATTATTTTAAAACCTATTTTTTTTAATGGTAAATGTGGATAGAGCCTTTTAATTAACTAATGTTTAAAAGTAGGAAATCATGAATCTTCCCCAGATATGCTAGATTCTGATCGGGAGAATATACCCTAATTGACCTGCTTTTCTTTTTCAGGATGTAGAAGAAATTTGAAATGCATGCCCCTGAAAAAGGCACAGATTTGAAATAGAACACCTGCTAAGCCCTTGTTTTCTTCTAATCAGTAGTTGCTGATTGAGAAAATTACGCACACACAATATGTACGTATTATGTGTTAAAAATATTCAAGATAATTTACTTTTACTTATCCATACTGAATTTAGTTACCATGTTTTTTAGTTGCTTGAAATATAGGCAAGTTTATTATCTTGAGGTATTTACATTTTTCTTTATTTTATATTCTACCAAAGCAAAAACTTATTTGGAAACATACTGTATAATTCCAATAAAAAACTTGTCATTCAGTCCTATTGTTTATATTTGTTACAATTATCCACTTAATAACTGTAGTTTTATATAACTGCCTCAGTGTCTTGCAATCTCTTATCTTAATCATACTCAACATTCAACAAACCTTTGCTGAATGACAATCAGAAAGAACTATGGTACATTTAAACTGGTTTTAGGCTATTCTGTTAATTTCATTTTTCATGTAATTTTTGTAATAGACACCTACTGCTAGAATATTTCCATCGGCAGAGAAAACTGAAATGACCCTGTGTTCTGCTAGTCCCTGTCTCCTTCCTACACAAGTAAACACTATTTATACAATCTAAATTAAGGACCCACATTTTCAAAAAATTCTGATCATGAAGAACGGCAGAATGAGTTCTTTTCAAGCCAGAAAATGAGATTGAGTAGTAGAGTCCAGGACCTCTAACTTTGAGCTCATCATCCCATCTGGGACAACCTGGTAAATTCCTTTAACTGCCAGGCTAGGGAATGAGGACGTCATATAACTTACTTACAAGTCCTAGGCCATGGAGAGCTTTATAAATTAAAATGAACACCTAGAATGACTGTTGGAAGCCAGAGCTATGCACAGAGCATCCGTATAATGTGCTCTGTGTGGTTGGCATTGCTAAACAGACAAGCTGTCACATTCTGTACTAGCTGAATATTCCAGGGCTTTTCCTCTGTCAACCAAGGTAGAGGACATGGCAGTAGTCAAACCTTGAGGTGACAAAAACCTAAAGTAGTGTGGTGAGCCCTGTATTATAGAGAGAAATTTACAAGTGTAGGTGGGGAGGAGCATCTCTTGCCACAGCACCTATATCATAATCCAAATGCATCCTTAGACTGAGAACATCACTATTAAAATAAAGGCACATTCTGTAATGACAGGAATTACATTCAGCAAAACTAGATCTTAAACACACACACACACACACACATGCACACATGTCTAGAATGGGCCATCTTACATATTTTAAAACAAAATAAAAAATGAGTATTTCTAATTCTGCAATCATTTAGTAGAAGAACACAACACCATATTTTGAAATCCAATGAATAATGTTACCATGAATTTATTAATAGGCTACATGAATGAATACATTTCAACTTATTAAAAAGGATCATAGTAAATTTTATTTATTTAGAAAAAAATTTAGTTTTTCCTGCTTTTTCTAAAAAAAGAAGAAATAATTTGTTTTTAATTTTTATAAATTAGAAGCAAAGAAAGAATGATAGTTCTTAGATAGCCCGCCTTTGGTTTTAGGATAGTCTATGAATTGTGGCTATTTGGTGCCACCTAGTGTCAGAGGCCTTTTAAAATACATTTAAGTTACCTTTGCTTTTAGAAAATTTGTGATGAAAAATAATTTATAGATGGCTGGATTGTCACCTGAAAGATATAAAAATTAAAATAAAATTTATTTGGCACTTATTAAACATTATCTAATATTGTCTCTTACTCTCAACTGTAGAGAGGCTTTTGGTTTGACAAAAAAATGTTTTACGACTCTAAAATAGAGATCTGGAATTGAGAGTGTTTAACTCTATTGTATTTTTTATTTTTTGTCGGGCTGGTTTGTTGGTTTCTGAAGTCAAGTTTATATATCTAGGATTGGTATAAACAGAGATGATATTCCATCTGGAAATTAATTATCATTAATTATAACATTACCAACGTAATAAAAGATATAATCATATTTTGTGGGCAAAGTGAAACCTTATAGCATATAGAAGGTTTAAGGTTGATAGATAATTGTTTTCAGAATTAAGGAATGATGGAGATTTGAATTTGAGTAGTCACATCATCATAACATCCTGTACCTTTTTACAGAGAACCCATTCTACTCACAGCATCCAGAAGTAGATGCACAAGGCAAGTGGCCATCCCTGGGGTACAGTTGATTGGATATGAATGGAATGGAATGACCAGAATGGAAGTATTTTGATTCTCTCTTGTGATCATTCGGGATGGTGGCACTGTGGGGCTTATGAACAAAGGTAAGGGTTTAATGTGAAGATTCATGATAAGCCACGGTTGATGCCAATACAATGCAACATTAAAACCATTTTCAAGTTATAGAATCTACACAGAAACAGAATAAGCCAGTTTTAGAGAAATCAGAATAGTAGAGACATATGCAGGGAAACCAAACATGAGAGACCCTATATGTTATAAGAGAAAAGAGGGATCTTAATTCTTGACTTACAGTTCCAGCCTTCCCATGCCCAAGCTTCTACCTTGCTTTTTTGCCCTTTCTTAATAATACCCTCAATAATACCTGATAATGCCTTCAAATAACTTCCTTTTACTTGACCTAGGAGTTTTTGATCCTTTCAACCAAATGATCCAACACTATAAAGTTATGTTTCAAATTTGGTGAAATAGGTTTCATCAGATGGGAATGACATCTTTTCTAAAATACCTGTGAATATCAGATACCACTAGGAAATTATACAATGTTTGACTGAAATTTTAATTTTTTACTGAATTTCTACACCTTTAATTGTGGCTTTGATAACATTTGATGACATGTACTTTTTCTCCTAGATTTTCCTTTCCCTTCCTCCAATTCTAACCTAACTTGCTGCCTCATAAGAGAGGTAGAGGGTGAGTATAAACACTGCTGTTGCTGACTTGGGTTCCCAGAAGCCCTGGACTGGACTGTGTTTGAATGGGGGTATGGGTTTAGGATTTTATAGCACAAGCCCCCGTCTTGGCAAAACTTGAAGTGTGAAAGACTTTATCTAGTCTAGAAAAACTGATATTGAAAGTGGAGAAGAGAGAGGCTTGTGGACCTCTCCTGAAGACAGAGAGGCAGTGAGGCCCTGCTTATTGAAAACAAATCTGGGGGAGGAGATGGGACAGGGTGATAAGACCCCAAGAAGGAAATAACTGTATAGTAATAGTATAGACAGAGGGGACCACACACAGCCATAAAATGTCTTCCTGCCTCCATAATACTTCAAAAGAAGCAGCAAAGGGCTCTGAGAGGTACAGGGCCACGTGGCCAGCCCTAAAGACCTGGACTGATGGCTGTAGCCAGAGGACCTCTTTCTTCCATCCTTGATCCTGTGTAAAAACCTAGAACTGGTCCACCACCCTGGAAGGATTCCAGGAAGGGCTGATGTTAAGTCTTCAAGATCTAAGCAGAAGGGGGCTAGGAGCTAGAAAATAAGTTTTTACGTAAAACAATAGTCTTGGACTCCTTGGTGCATGAATTGAGATCCCACATTATAATTCTAAAATATAAAGTGTTCCATTCTTGTTTCACATTAACTAATATTTAAGTTAATTTCACGAACTTGTATGGAAAGACTTTATTCTCTGTATTTAAGGGTATCTCTAAACACTAGCTTCTTTAGCATCACCCAAGTGTTTATCAAATAAATATAGATTCCAAGACTGCTCCCCAGGCATACCATTTCCCCATCGTAGGGGCTTAGGGGAAACCTTTTAAAAGAAGTGCCCCAGATTTTCTGAATTGTAACAAACCTGGGAACCAATGCTTAGCTGAGTGTAGCCTTTAAGAATCACTCCACAGTTAAACCAGTCTTTACTATTTAAACCTCTTTTGGTTAAATATGTTCATTTGGAGGACTTTTTATACAAGAGAATAAAAATTGTTATTTTCACCAAATTAACTTTAAAATCACTGTGTAAATCATGTGTTCGTAATCTCAATTATTATAGGTAACAGTTATAGGGCTACATGGACTTCTCTGACATACAACACTTTCTGAACTAGAGAAAAACCATTTGAAACACTTAAGCAGAGCAGGTTTAGATTTCTCCTTAGTTGTGAGTTTTCCCTTTCAACCTATCATTAACCTTGTCCCAAGCTTGAGATTTGAATGGCAGGAAAGATGGGGTATTGGTTATCCATGGTTCTAGCACTTTCTACCACTTACCTTTCAGTATTGTGGGTAAGAATAAGACTACACAAATGATTTCAGGGGTACTACTGGCTCAAGCATATGTTTGGCACCAGAATATCAAAATATATACCTTAATTTTTTTATCATAAATTACTAAATTAAGATAAATTTTTACCCCTGGAGAGCACAAGTTAGGAAAAGAAGGAAAAAGAAAATAAGCTAGTACCCCCCACCCCCATTATTGGCTCATGGAATATAAACTAAAAGTACAGCATAAGAACATTTTAGGATCAACGTACAGGAGTGGATGGGTCCTGATATGAGTCATTTCCCTTGGCAGGGTGGGTGGTTACTGCTGGCAATGATCTCAGAGTAGACTGCTCACAGCCCAGGCACAATGCAAAGCTGACTTAATACAGAACATAGATAACAAATGGGGACAGAAAGCAGCCTTTCAAAGTTTTGCTCCTAATCACAGGGACTGGGTCTTCTCATGCTGTATTTGTAACATCTGTAAGGTACCCAATAAAAGTCTACTGAATGAAGTTGAATATGGGAGCTCCCAGGAGAGCTCACCTCCCTGTGCCTGAGGTGAGAAGAAAGTATCAGTAGTTCTGGGACTCTGCTCCTGCTTCCAATATTCATCCAACAACTTTTGCTTTCTTTTATGTGTCAGTTTAGTTCATGTTCATATCATTTTATTGAGAATCTAGTCATTATCTAGGCACTTGAGATACAAAGATGAAAAATCCAGTTTCTGTCCCCAAAACAAACATCACCAAAAGTCTCCAATATAACTTTATGCATACCATGCCGGAGTGATACACAAAGTACTTTGGATGCGTACAGAAGGGCCACTAAGCCAACTTGAGATTTTTGGGAAATTATTTGGAAATGATGGCAAAGAGAAGTGAGTTATGGAATTGATCTGGAAAAGATAGGAGCTGGACCCATGTAAGGCATCTCTAGGACATAGGTCTATGCAGGGCACAGGGTGGAAATCTGACCCTGTGCAATCTAGGTGAGGAACACTCAAGCTAGTGCAGGTGACAAATGATGAGGGCTCAAGTCACCAGTAATAAAAATGGGAAGGTGGATCTCAGAAAAATTTAGAAGGCAAAACTGGTAGACCTTAGTAGTTGGCTGGATATTGGGAGGAGAGTGGGGATATCTCAGGATGTCTTATGATTCTGCCTTACAGAGATGGGAAATACTTGAGGACAAGAGAGAGATTTAAGGCCCAGACAAGAAGGCATATTAGATGAACCGCATGCAAGGTGCCTAAGGGCTACAAAAGCAAGGAACTGGATACAAAGGTCTAAAGTTCCAAATAGATGTCAGGGCTTCAGGTACACATTTGGAGATTTTAAGTAAAAAAAAATCATGAGAGAGGAGGAGTTCATTCAAAGAAATTCAGAATGAGAAGAGCAGTGGGCAAAGGGGCAACATCTCAGTTTTCAGGAAAGTAGCTATAGGGTGAGAGGTCACGTACCTGCCTGCAAGGGTAATGAGATTCTCTTGGTCAGTGTTGGAGGTGGTTTCGGTCTGTACTTGCTCACTGTCTGCCTGCTTCTCTTGAACTCATTGGCGCCCCAGGCACCCTCGAGCTGCCAGGACGTGGTCTGGACCACCTAGGCTGAGTCTCAGCTTTATTTGTGCGACCACTGGTTTCAGTCTCTTGACTTCCTAGATGTGGGCAGAATTGCAGGAGCCCGGGCTTCCCTGAAAAACACAGGGAAAGACACATGGTGAAATACAGTGTTTTGTAAACTTTTTCTTTTTAATCAGTGGGATCACTGATTCAAATGAACTCTGATAGATGAGAGATACCCCAGGGCTGTTGTGATTAAAGCCAAGTGTTTGTCCCAGAACAATGCTTTCTCAGATCTGCCCTCTGGTCCCTGAAGCAGCCCCTTAGGCATCTCCTCAGAACCCTTGTAAGGTAAACAGCAAGCCCTTTCTGGAAACACGGGTTTAAACCCTGATTCTGTGGCTCAAAGGTTATTTGTCTTTGGACTGATTGCTCAGTTTTTGTGATTCTTATATTCCTCAGCTATAAAATATAATTACTTCGTGGGCTTGTTAGCATCAGATGAGATAATGTGTCAATGCAAAGCTCAAAGGTCAAAGTAGTCTCAATAAATGTTACTTTTCTTCCTTGCACCATGTCTAGGCCCCAGTGGACAATTTATGGAATCAAAATAAAATCATTGAGTCTTAGAATGGAAAAGGGTTGAGAGTTTTCTAGTCCAACCTCCCCAGGGAGCTCCTGCCAAAATGTCCACATCAGATGGTCCTTTAGTAACTGCCTGGAAAGTGCACAGACAGTGGGAGATTTGTGCGTACGTGCGATAGATTCTGTTTTACTGATGTATGCCTCAGACTGAGTCCAATATTTGACCCATTATTCTAAATTTTATTTTTCAGAACAATACACGCAGTCATTCAAGTTTTAAAGCCAGATTATCAAACATTGTATAAGTTGTGATCCTGTTTTGGTTAAAAGTTATATAAACATACATATGTATGAATATGTTTACAGACCATCTGTAGGATTTATATAAAAATTTAATAGTGGCTGTATATTGTATTACAGAAACAGTTTTTCTTGATAAGAAATTCTATATTAGGTGCGCCTGGGTGGCTCAGTCAGTTAAGCGTCTGACTGTGGCTTAGGTCATGATCTCACAGTCTATGAGTTTGAGCCCTGTGTTGGGCTCTCTACTGACAGCTCAGAGCCTGGAGCCTGCTTCGGATTCTGTGTCTCCCCTTTTCTCTGCTCCTCCCCTGCTCCCATTCTGTCTCTCTTTCTCTCAAAAAGAAATAAACATTAAAAAATAATTTTTAAAAATCTGTATTAAATGCTTTTTCCCCTCTCAATTAGCATGTGCTTTCAAAGATATGATTTTTTTTTACCTTTTTTTTTACCTCTGGTCTTGAGCCTCTTAACTATGCTTAAGGACAGATAGAGGAGATGCTATCTCCATTCTTCACCAGCATGTGAGTGTGTGCACATATACACACCCACACATGCGCGCGCGCACACACACACACACACACACACACACACACTCCTGGAATCAGAGGGATGGAATGATTTTCTGGGAGTGATTTTCTAAGGTTTATTGGGAATGGTGGAATAAGAATTAACCTCAGGTTTTCCCTTTTTCTTCCCACTGCACCTTTTATGTTTGTTTTTGTCTCTTTTTAGTCTAAATGTTCCACTTACCTCAGCTCTGTCACTTTTGACATAAACCTCAGACTTCCTATCATTCAAGTCATTCTTTTCTGAATGCATTCTTGACTTAAAATCCTAATTAACATGAGGTGTATAGGAGTGTGTGTAATATTCAGGTGTAATCTGAAAAACACATAAAGGAATGTATTACCTTCCTTGATTAGGACATTATTAAACCAAGATATAACACTTTTATTAAATATGTATGCATTTCAGCTAATTTTAAAATAATATTTTATATTTCCATTATAAGTATAATATATGTTCACTATGGGACATTTCATAAGTAGAGAGAAAGAATTTTAAAAAGTCACTCCTATAACACCCATAGTTTTTCTAAGCAAAAATAAGTTCTCTAAATATTTTATGTCTCATCCTATCAGAAAGAAAACTCTTTGGGGGCAGGATTTTTATTTCTTGTGTTCAGCACTCATTTTGTGCCTAGATTAGTACCTGGACTATATTAATGGGCATGTATTCAAACTTTGTTGAAGCAGGGAATAAAATATTTATGTATATACATTTATATTTTTGAGTACATAATAGAATCAGTAAAAGTTTGTATCTTCATTTTTTTAGTTCATATTAGGTTGTTGAAAGCATTTGAATTTTTTGAAAATGTTTATTTATTTATTTTGAGAGAGAGAGACAACAAGCAGGGGAGGGGCAGAGAGAGAGGGAGAGAGAACCCCAAGCAGGCTCCTCTCTGTCAGTGCAGAGCCCATCACAGAGTCAGATTCAGAGCCCGAGGCAGGGCTCCGTCTCATGAACTGTGAAATCATGACCTGAGCTGAAAGCAAGAGTCCGATGCTTAACTGACCGGGCCGGCCATGTGCCCCGCATTTCTGTGTTATAATAAATTCTTCCTAACTACCATCATGATTGCATAATGCTCTGTGGAGTGTATATGCTGACTTTTGAGAGGCCACTTAAGTGCTTTTCATGTTTTGTTGCAATGACCAATAATGCTGTTGCAAACATCTCTTTGTACGTGTTTTTGTAATTTTTGAGAAATATCTTGCATAGGCCTTTCCAAAGTGAAATTCTTGATTCGAAGATGTGAAGGGTTCAAAATAAACACTCTTCTCCCCTTCTCTCTCTGTTATTTAGAATTTGAGTACATGTTGAATGTGTGGTCAACCACTGTCATTGAACTTACAATTTTTTTTCACTTCAAAATCTCCATAGACACCAATTCATGCATTTTAGGTGTGTTTTCAGGCAGGTATGAATCCACGTGACTGCAAAGTCCGTGGCTACCTTTCTTCGCCCTGCCCGGTGCCAACCACTTATTTCTTCCTGGTCAGTTGAGTGGTGGGCACACTTGTTGCCTCCACCTTCTGAGAGATGAAATTGTCAGCAAGACAAGTCAAGACTCTGTCTGATGCTCAGCTTTTTAGTATAATGAGATTTCTAGCAGATGTCTTTATAGTGGAAGTGCCCCCATTACTGTTATATCTTTTCTCTGTGACAGATTTTTAATCTGTGTTAGGAAAAGTGATGTCCATATCTTTTATCAGACTGGGCAGTCTTAATTTTCTCTTTTTTCAGATGGTTTCATCTTTCCCTGCCCATAGATATCCGTATAGAAGCTATCTTGTTAAAAACAAACACACAAACAAACAAACATTTTCTATAAAAACAAGGACATAATGCCTGTTTAGGCCTAATTTTACAGGTTGTGCACATCAACTGTAGAAAGCCTAGAAAATGATACAAAGTATAAAGAAGAAAGTGCGAAAAAACCCATAATCCCGCAATTTTATGGGATAGTACTTGCTAATATTTTGCCATATTTCTTCTAGATTTGCTTCTGTGTATGAGTACGTGTGTGTTAGATGTAACTGGAAGAGGACTATAAATTTAACTCTTATCCTGAGATTATATTTAACATATTATAAGCATTTTCTTTTTTCTTTTTTTAAAAGTTTATTTATTTGTTTTTGAGACAGACAGAGAGTGGGAGCAGAGTAGAGGGCAGAGAGAGGGGGAGAGAGAGAGAATCCCAAGCAGGCTCTGCACTAACAGTGCAGAGCCCAACTCTGGGCTAGAATTCCCTGTGAGATCATGACCTGAGCCAAAATCAAGGGTCAGATGCTTAACTAACCAAGCCACCCGCACACCCCAGCATTTTCTTTTGGCTTTAAAAACTTAAAAAAAAAAAAAGTTAGCTTAATGATTATGTAAGTTTTATCTTGGAAGCAGGCTATAGCTAATTTAATCATGTTCCTGTATTTTTCATGTTTCCATTTGTCTCTGATAAAGATAACACCTCCATGAGCATCCTAGTAAATAAATATTCACATATACACTTGTGGTGACTTCCCCCAGAGAGATTCCTCCATGTGGGTTTGCCTGGAGAATGTGCCATGATCACTTCAGGCTGTGTTCAGTGGATCCTGTGTTCCTACCCCTTTGCCAACACTCAGCTTTTGTAATCTTTGCTCATTTTATAGGTGAGATCGAAGGCGTACCGTTTTAATAGTCACTACACTATTTGTGAGGATGAATTCTCTCATCTTTTGGCCCATTTTTCTTCTTTCTTAACTTGAGATTCATTATCTTTACTGTGCTTGTTCTCCCCATGTAGGAACTTGCTATATCCTTCCGTTATTTATAGCTTTTTTGAATAAATTGATAGTTTTTAAGTTGATCTTTATCTTATCCCATTAATTCATGCCTGGTGTAAAAAGTCCAATTGTATTATAAGGTTGATCACCAAAAGCAGCAGTCCTCAGCTCACTCATACCCAGAGTCAATTCCCCTTTATCAGAGGCATCCATGTTCACATCTCATAGCTCTGTCATCTGTTTTCTTCCATTTTTCTGAATAATATGCTAAGACAGCTATTTAAAATATTTAAAATTCAGACATTATTGACTTGCCATTATGAGGTTAGCTATCTTCTACACTCCCCACCAATGCATATTTGTTCTCCATCCCACCTCTCAAATACAGTTATACCACGGTTTGGGCTAGAATCAGTACATGTTTTCACTAGTATGGCTATATACATATTGCTCATAGTTATGTTCTTGTACAAGTTACATTTTCCTGTTTGTTTGATTTTTGCTTGTTTAGGTTCACGTTGTGCATCACTAACTTGTTCTCAAATCATCTGGAGCTACCGAACTCTTGTCTATATGATCAAACACACCCGATAATTGTTTATCTCCGTTCTCTTGGTGGCGTCCTTTGAGGGACCTCCTGGTCTCATGCTCCAATCAGAAGTATTCATTCTCTGGTCCTGCTACATGTCTGTCACCCAGAGGACCTTTTGTCCCTCTCTTGCCTGGAATTCCATCTTTCTTTCTTGATTTACCTCCTTCAGCAGTTTCCAAGAGGCCAGTGTATAGGATATGAATTTTTTGTGATCATCTATACTGTTGAATTCACTCTTATATTTGAGAATTGTTTTTTTTTAAGTTTATTTATTTCTGAAAGAGAGAGAAAGAAAAAGAGAGAGAGAGAGAGAGAGAGACAAAGTATGAGCAGGGGAGGGGCAGAGAGAGGGAGATACAGAATATGAAGCAGGCTCCAGGCACAGAGTCCTATGCGAGGCTTGAACTCACAAACCGTAAGGTCATTGCCTGAGATGAAGTCTGTTGCTTAACTGACTGAGACATCCAGGTGCCCCAAGAATTGTTTGTTGTTCTTTTTCTTTAATTTTTTTAATGTTTATTATTTGAGAGAGAGAGACAGAGAGCAAGCAAGGAAGGGGCAGAGAGAGAGGGAGACACGGAATCGGAAACAGGCTCCAGGCTCTGAGCTGCCTGCACAGAGCCTGACGCAGGGCTCAAACCCACAGACCGTGAGATCATGACTTGAGCCGAAGTCGGCAGCCCAACCGACTGAGCCACCCAGGAGCCCCGTTTGTTTTTTTAATATAACGCTCTTTTGGAAATCATATACCCTCAGAATTGAAAAAAAAAAAAAAAAAAAAAAGGCCCCATTGTGATCCAGGATTGCTACTGAGAAGTCTGTCATGTTTCTATTCCTATTTTTTTATATTCGACCTGTATTTTTCCTCTGCAGGTAAGTTCTAAAATCTATACTTTACTCCCAGTGTTCTGATATTTCATCCTTTATTTTTGGTATGGTAAATCAACCACTCCTTCAATGGTTCCTGGAATTCTGTGTCTTTAACAACTCCAGAAAGTAAATGTCCTATGTTCTTCCAGGTGGGAAGGACCAGTCATCTCCCCAAGGACCACTTGGTGGTGGTTGTGGGGGCAGGTGGGGGGGGGGAATGCTGATTTCTTCTGAATTTTATTCATTTGTTTGTTGATTCTTTCACTTATTTGTTCAGTCATTCATTTTTGCGTTCAACAAACACATAAGTATTGGCAATGTGGCAAGCAGAACCTGGCAATGCAGATACAGAGACACATGTTTTCTGCACTTGTGGAGTTTATAGTCAGTCTGGTTCCTTTTACTTCAAAAAAAAATGTTTATTTATTTTGAGAGAAAGGGGAGAGGGAGGGGCAGAGAGAGAGGGAGAGAGAGAATCCCAAACAGGCTCTGTGCTGAGCCCTGACATGGGGCTCGATCTCATGATCCATAAAATCATGACCTGAGCCAAAATCAAGAGATGGACACTTCAATGACTGAGCCACCCAGGCTCTGCTCCTTTTATTAGCATTCTGATTATGTTTTTCTGTGCTATTACTCAACGATTGCATCCTAATATATGCCTACGTTTTGATATTAGTTTTAACTTTACTCCAACCACTTGGTGCATCTTACTTTTTTCCATAACCTGATTTAACATTTATCGGTAGCACACTGTGCACATTCAGTGCTTGGGATCAGGGATACACAGGGGAGCGAGGATGAAATCTCTGCCTATATATTGCTCTTTGGTTCTCTGTGTTTGCCTCTCCTGTGCGTCAGAGGCTGAGAGAACTCTGCAAGAGATTTCCTTTCCTCCAGGGCCGCTGAAAGTGAGCAAAGAGCAAATCTCTTCTTCTCTTAGATTCATAATCTTTGATGGGATTTTATTAACTCAGCCCTCTCCGATCCCAGGATTCCACCTGAGGGGGTCCTTTATTCCTCATCCTTCCCTGACCAGGTGCGTATGGAGTGTGTTAGTGGTGCTCAGAAGGTGGGAAGAAGGATGGATGCCACCATAAACATAAAAATCTCCTTAGTGCTGAGGCAACTTAAGAAGGCAGACATTTGATAACTTAGCTCTCTATTCTCCCTTGAGATAACACAGGTCAGGTTCAACCATGACCATGGGCAGTGTCCCAGGGCAAAAGTCATTGTCAATATCATTAATCAATGACATTCCATTTTTCTCTTTCAATCACTCTCTCCATTTTTTGGCAGTAGAATTGAAACATGTTTGTCAATTACTTTACCAGCTCTGACCTTTGCAATTAAAACAGCGCTACAAAACTTTCTCTGATTCTTGCATTTTCATTCTTTCTTACATGCATAGAAGTTTTGGGGATTCTTGAATTCTTCTTGCCTACCAAAATTTAGAATGTTTTCTCAGAGAATTCTTTTGCATATGTGTTTCAAAGGCCATCTGAGTTAGGACGATCTCATACCACAATTTGTGATCATCTCCAAACCAAAGACCTGAGACAGAATATATTCATTCTCATCACAGTTCATACAATACACATTTAAAATAATTTATTTATATCTGCCAACATTTTTGTTTCTTGTAGAGTGTTTATTTTTTATAGGGTTAACAGTTCAGAAAATTTTTAATTTCACCCTCTTATGTAAATGAATTACATAATTGATTAAATCATATTCAGCATCAACACTCATATTTTCAACTATTTTCAACTTTAGTCTTTTAAAATCCCTTCTTTCATCATGGATCTACAATGGGTTCATCAAAAAATAACAAAAATGCCAAAGAGAACACAAGTAAATTCCAGTTCAAAGTTGTGAGTACTGATACATACTTTGCATATTAAACCAGTGCCAACATTTTTAAAATCCTTTTCTTTTCTTTCTTTTCTTTTTTCTTTTCTTTTCTTTTCTTTTCTTAGAGATAGAGAGAGAGCACAAGCAGGGGAGAGAGAGAGAGAGAGAGAAAGGGAGAGAGAGAATTCCAAGCAGGCTCCATGCTGCCAGCACAGAGCCTGGCATGGGGCTCAAACTCACAAACCAGGAGATCTTGACCTGAGCCAGAATCAAGAGTCAGATACTTAACCAACTGAGCCACCCAGGTGTCCCAAGCCATTGCCAACTTTTGATAGTAAAATCTCCATAGAGATTTTGTGTGTGTGTGTGTGTTTGTCATTTTTTTATTTTTGAAAGACCACACCTGTGTGAGCAGGGGTAGGGACAGGAGAGGGGGCAGAGGAACCAAAGTAGGCTTCGCACTGACAGCACAAAGCCCAACGTGGGGCTTGAACTAAAGAGCCAGAGGAGACGCTCAACCATCTGAGCCACCCAGTGCCCTATAGTGTGTCTTTCTTGGCAGGACTGGGGATCACTTACGGGAGCTTTAAAAAAAAAAAATCTACACCCAATGTGAGACTTTATCTCAGGATGAGTTCAAGTCACAAACTCCATAGAGTTTGTAAGTTTGTAAACAAGGAGATGCTTTTTGCAACCTTGAATTTAGTTTAAGACATGTTTTTAAAAATGGACTTTATGTACCAGTTAAAGAATTTTATATAATGTGAACTAGAATTAGGAGAGTTGAGACAATTTCAATAAAAATTCTTTACAAATTTAAATACGACTGCTTATTTTTACTTAATCTTTTTAAAGTACCTAATTATACAATATGATAGTAATGATTCTATATGCCTAAAGTGTTAAACATCTAAAATGTTAGCATATATGTCATGATAAAACACCCTTTGAAGAGTGCAAACACAGAGAAATTACTTTTATTTTGTTTTTGCATTCCCTACAACTTCAGCCAGTTAATCTTATCCACTGCTTTAGGCAGTAGTGTTTGCCCAGAGATTCTCAAACATCAATGCTATCATTG